TTTTTTTTTATTTTTCCGTTTCAACTATGATCACAATTGAGAGATTTTGTGTTTAACTGTCAACATATTATTTTATAGTGCTAGTTTATTAATTTAGCCTACTTTTTATGTTTTAACATCTAAACCAATGCCTTTCTGTTGTTACTTTTATTATCTTATTGTTTTATTTATTTATTTGTATTTATCCAACACATAAGCAAGAAAGCACATAATGTGTACATTATTGTTTATAGTAATGTAGTGTACTTGGATGTCCATAGTCCCCTCCCAAGACATTTAATTGATATCTTCTTCTAAACAGTGAAAGAGAAAGTATAATTGATAAACTTGTAGATTACACACAATTATACTTGCCGTGTCTCTTCCATGTTCCCCCTTTGTTCACTTTTAAAGTTCCTTCAAATTGAAACCAACAAAGATATTATTCCTTCCAAAAATACATAACCCCATAAAAAGGTGCATTGCATTATTTTTAAGATGGAAAATAAAAATTCCATTTTTTTTTTTGCTTATTTGACTAACCTTGTAATTAAAAATTACCTAAATTAAATAGTTTTTCACTTTATATTCAATAAAAAATAATTTTTCCATTTATAAACATGAAAGCAAAATTTCTTGGTTTTCTTTATGGTATCAGACCATGGTCTAAATGAGCTTTTTGGTAGCTCTAGAGGTCTATCATCACCTCTTTGAATATTTCCCATTATTTACGGCACATCCTGAATATAAAAGGATCCATAAACAAGGAATAAAAATTAAGATGAACAGGAAAAAAGATAAAAGATAAACTTATTTATTAGTATAATAGCAGATATGTAACTACAACATGTTAAAATAAAATAAAATTCAACTTTAAAAGGTTGTTCTATCATGTGTATTTCTTTACTATCATACAAAGTTAGTAAAGTAATAGACGTGTATTATTCAATATCTAAATTTTCAGAGTCAATAAAAATAATATCTCTTAAAAAGATAGCTTAATTATTTCGATAAAATATGGAGAACAGGCCTTAATAGTTTGTTATGGAAGACAAGATTAGAAGAGTATGAAAAATTATAGTTCCATTTTTGATTCAAAATTTTATGCCACAGATGCACCTGATATGTTAAGCTAATATAATAAAAAAATATAACTATTGTAATTATAGCCTATTAATATTTTTTTAATATAAGATTACATACATAGTCACAATAAAATGACACGTTCAAAAGTCATATCTACGATATAAATAAATACACATCAACTTAAAATGAAAGTATTTACATTATGTTATCCAATCTGTACATATTTTCTTAAAGAGAATTAATATAAGTTAGATTTCTATTCAAATTCCACAAAAATAATTTAAAATCTATAAGTCATAACAGATAATTAATGATTTAAAAATAAAATAAGAACTAATCATTTAAATAAATTTAAGAACAATAAAATATATATTTTTTTATATATGAAGAAATTATGACAGTTTTAATTATCTATGTTAAACCATCTCCTCAAACCTTTTTAATTATATAATAAGTAAACATAACAATTATAATTTCACAATGACTAAAACCATAATATAAATCTCTAAATTATTTACTTTAGAAACAGTAATTTATCTGTGATAAAAAATAATTTGATAAAAACTCAATCATTTATAATCATGTGGACTGAAAGTTCATCAACAAACATGTATAAATAACAGAGCAGTAAAAGAGGTTTAAATTAATAATTTAATTTATTTTAAAATGAATAATAATTAAACTAAATGAAGAAGATAATAAAAGGACAAATAAAGAAACATAAAACAAAATATTAAAAAAATTAAATGGAGCAAAAGTAATATGATTTCAAAATTTAGATTGCTTTACAAAAGTGTCTTTTATTAAAATTATTAGAATGGAAGACATGGGTACTTACTAAAAACTTCAGATTTGATTGCACTTGCATGATATTTAAATTTCACAAGTTCGCATAGATAAAATTTAAAATGTCGCGCTTTATGTCATTTTTTTCTAAACAAATAAAGAGTTGAGGATAATATTAAAGCTTTAAACATTTAATATAAACAAAATGCTGAACAAATAAATTACACTTTACAATTATAAAATTTAATGACAAATTAAGTTAATCTTATACAAACATTAATCTTAAAAAATCTTTACCATCTCTCAGAAAATTGGTGAATCTATTGCAAAGGTGTGTTCACCACCACCAGTAAGATAATATTCAGTTCAATTCATTATCAACGCTAAATAAACCCTTTACATTTTACAATTTATGAAAATAATAAAAGGAGTTCAATCCCATTTATTAATAATAAATGGTTCCAAATAATACAGTTGTTATTTTCATTCAAAGTATTCTGAAGAGGAGTTACAATAATAAAAAAAAGTCTCATTTTAAGTGAGATCTGATAATATACATATTATATATATATATATATATATATATATATATATATATATATATATATATATATATATATATATATATATATATATATAATAACCTTGTTGAAGGTTATTTAAATGGAATAAAACGGTCTAACTCTGAGATCAATTAAATTATTTCGACTAAATTACAAAGCAGTTGATAAATTGTGATTAAACCTCTTTTTTTATTTCATTTGAGATCAAGAGTAATAAAAGTCTGGATTCATTTAAACTGTGATCCTTGATATTCTGATTAATATTTTTAATGAGATTCTTAAAAGTGGATATTTCAAAACTGATATTGCTAAGCAATATTTTTATCCCAAGAAATATTTTTTTTTTAAATGTGAAAAAAAGTCTTTAATAAGAAATTGTTGTATTTTAAAATTAAATAAATAGTTTCTATAAAGCTTTGAATATTTTAAATTTAATTTGTTCATACAAAAAGTTAGTTGTCACAACTAAAATATCATATAAATTCAAAATGTGTGGAGAAAATTAAGTATTATTATTTATTTTTTAAAAGTTAGTAAAAAAAAAATTTACTATTCTAAGCAACACCTCAAGACTTTTGTTCAACAAGAAATCCCTTCTCTATTTTTAACCTTTACGATTGAAGTTATGACAAATTTCAAGAAATTAAATTAAGTAATGAGCTCTTCTGAAATGATTAAATTTCATAAAAATCATTTTATAAATCATTTAATTATAATAAAATTTATCATTCATCGTGAAGCTCTAGAATTATGGATGCTGTAGAGTAAAGCAAACAGTATTTTTACACACATCTGATGATGTCTGATTTCTCCTATACTTCTTAGACTTTCAACTTTTGATGGTTATAATGTAACCTTCTTCCAAAATAAATATATATTTCTCTTTTCAATAATTAATCACAAAAAAAATATAACTGGATATTTTTATTTCTTATTTGTACCCGCTTATATTAATCACAACTATAAGAGAAACAATTTTAACTGTAGAGTAATACATTTAAGTTGTTTTTCAAATTTTGTGTGAAGTTATTATAAGTTTATTGGATGTCTAGGCACCTAAGCTTTCGTATTTTCTTCCTCTTATCTAAATCATTTAGTTTATTTTATTTTATTTTATTTATTTTTTTTTTAGCACTATTGCCATCTACAGAGCCATACATAGCTTTAGAATAGTCTTGTTAATAAATATGCAAAGATGACTTCAAACATCTCGTCATTATATCATTAAATTATTGCAACTAAAATACATATATTGTTCTTACTAGCATCTCTTTTAACATTTTATAAAATGGAAGTTTCGGTGCCTAAACTTTCTATAATAATTAACAATTGTACTATGAACTAAACTTTCCAAGAGTATGAGATATTATATTGATCATTCACCATTAAATTTGAAAGTGAAATATCAAAATAACATACAAAGCAGTTTTAATACCTACATCAGTTCTATACTGATTTATAATTCTAGGGTTCTATTCTATTATAAAAATATTATAGACATACGAGAGCATCAGTAAAGCTAAAACTAAAATATATTTTTAAAATATCTAAACTTGACTATTACCGATTAAGAAAAGGAGAAGAAATGAATATTGTTAAAGATATGTTGCATTTTCAAAGTTTTATTATTTAGTCAGAACCTTTCAAACAAGGTTTAGACAACTTTGCAAAATTCTAAAACAAATGGTTATAATCTATATTTTAAAGCTAAAAAAATTAATATTTTGTGCCACATAAATTTCTCACATTGAATTTGACAATTTGTAATGGTGTCAGCTTGGTTAGGTTTTCGATAAATTAAGAATTTCTCATTTGAAAATTATAATAAACAAATAAAATAATGAAAAAATATTTACGTTCAAAATTTTCTGTAGGTATGTTATGTAAAACAAACACCAATTTTATTAAAGATAAAGTTGTAGAAAGTTTTGAGTTCAGCACCGTTAGTATCAAATCTAAATTTCACTTTTGAAAATTAATATCAATTTCTGAGAGTATTGATTCAAAGTAAAATAAGAAAAATTAACAATGCAGTATTGTAATATTTTGTTGACATGGGTTTCTTAAGAATGAAACATTAAATCAATAAAGTGAGATTTTCTCTTGTTTCATATAAATATTTAATTATCAACTTTATTTCATATAAATATTTAATTATTAACTGTTGTTATTTAATATTTAATTATATATCACACGAATTCTAAAAGCCATAATTATGCTTTGTTTTTTTAAAAGTTATTTATACACTCTCAATAGTTAGTAATATTGTGCTTCTAAAAAAAGGTATTTGACTTAACCTTAGAATTGTAGGAGACGTAAAATAAAAACAACTATTAATTATAATTCTCAGAATAATTATTGAATTTCTAAATGTAAATCATTCCAATCATACATTAATTAATGAATAATCTTCAGGGCTTTTCCTTTTCAGATAGTAATTTAAATTACTATGAAGTTGTAGATATAGTGAAATACCCAACAGATTAATATCTTTATAAAATAATACAAACAGCAAATTTAAAAACAGTGCACCAATTTTATACTTTAAAATAATGGAACTGAATGTTCTAAGTATCAATTGAGATTTTACTCCATTGTGTCGTATTGAACTTTCTCAATATTGAAATATCGGTATATTGCGTAACCTGAAATGGTCAATAAACATGCAGCAGCTAGCATACTTCCAACAATTAAGGGTGCTGTTTCACTTCTATATGTTCCTGACCCAGTAGCTGCACACATATATTCTGAAACAAAAGGAAAATAAACATCAACAATGAAATAGTATGTTATATTTCAATATCCAACTAACATCTAGTTCTCATAGGTTATGTAAATGCTTATTCAAATATTAACTAACCTTAATGAAGAAGATTCATCATAATTTTATTTTATTTTTTTTTATAAAAAATTAAAAAGGGTACAAAATCTGTGTCTGAGAATCATGAAGGATTATCCCCAATACACAAGAAGAACCAAAATGTCAAACGATTTGGAATTCTAGAAAATTAAACAATTTATATACTCCCAGACCGAGAAATTTTTCTACTCCACAAATACATCAGTAAACCCCATAATTAAAGCAATAGGCAATTACAATAAGCAAAGTTTAAGAAGATATAAACATAGACCCACAAAACATATTTTACTGGAATAAACCTGACCAAAATAATGTTGCATAAGATTCATTGAGTACTTATTTTAGTTTATTTTTGCTTAATTGAAGTACATAAAATATACTATGTACCAATACTATGTCGTATGGGTAATTATCTGCAACGACGAGTAGAGATAAATATCCTTCGTTGATGCTGTAGATACCGGTGCTCCTCATTAACTTGGCCATCAGTGTCTCAAACGCAGTGCAGTTGGTGATCCGGGACACCACGACTCTAGCATAGGGGATGAATATCATGTCCATGACTGTGTAACTTGACACAAAAACCCCAATGTCCAGTGAGGAATCGAGAGACCCAATACTATGTGTCCCATCTGGCTGCTAGTCGAGACTGAAGGGTGAGAAAATACTTCCTTAGGATAGCCTTGTTACTTGTAAGAATACTTCCTTAGTGGTAGTGATCCTGTTCCATTCTTCGACAGTAGCTTCTCTCAATATTGATATCCATCTCTTAGGCCGTTCCTCAATTCTCTCTCGAAGGTCCTCCAGAATACCTGTTGAGCTTTTTCTCTTGTAGGTATATTTGATCAAATCTTCTTGCAAGAGGAGATCGAGAGGTAGCTCTCCTGCTAAGACCTGCACTGCCTCGTGAGACACTGTCTTATATACTTTAGTGACCCACAGCAGAGCCGTCCTCTGGATAGATGCTAACCTGTTCTTCTTTCGGTTGGGAAGGTTCAGGTAATATGAGGGAGATAAGTATACCTTAATATACCCAGAATCACCTCTTTGTTGATGGGGATACCAGGCTATCATTGAAATTTTAATATTGATTCAAAGATAATTATAGGTAGCAACATATCCTAGGCTTTTATCATTCATTCTTGAGAAACCTTCCATTATTACATGAAAATCTTATCACATTACCCATAGAAAGTTTAATTGCTTTGTTAATATTTTTCAAATATAACCCATATGCAAAAAAATAAAATAAAAAATAAAAAAAGATATTATATGTACATTAATTTTTTTCATATAAAGTATTATATTGATCATTTCACAATAATTATGTTGATTATTAGGTTATAATTTATTTCCAGTGGATACCAGGCCATTGGGCGCTCCATGGAAATGATGAAGCTGACAAACTGGCCAGAATAGGTTCTGGAATGATCCAACCAGATATTCATCTGGGCACGGATTCAACAAAAAGAATTATAAAACAGACCCTCCAAAGTTCACTGAAAGAAAAATATTTGCAAACAATTGAAGGGAAACGATGGAGTGGATTGCTCGAAGAAAGTGCAGGATCCCTAGAGGGCAAGCCGTAGCATGCTTTAGAATGCTCACAGGACATGATTTCCTTCAGAAGCACCTCCACCGCATCGGTATAAAAGATAGCCTGACATGCCCCCTATGTTCCTTAGACATGATGACAGGAGAACATATTGATACATGCCCTGCATTACAGGACATAAGATGTTCCTTTAATGAAATGGACTGCAAGAGCAGGCATGGCTGATGAAGCAGGCGTTACTTAGGGAAAAAAATAAAATAAAAAAATAAAATAAAATAAAAAGGTTATAATTTATGGAAATGGCAAACCACGCAGCCTTAAGTCTCCAAATGCAGGCAAAAAACAAACCTGTCTACATTTTGCCTATTCAATTCAGGCATCATCAGGACAGAAAAGAACAGCTAATTGAACATCACTCCATGACATCCATAGGCATACAGGCTTATGAGTTTATGTTCTGTCTCTTAGTTACTAAGTTATATTAATATATTGATTATGTTAATTGTCACTCATAATTTATATATAAATACACTCAGATAGTCACTGCTTTAGAATTGAGAGTTCATCTATCAAACTGAAGGTATTCCGTTTCTGTTGATTAGCTCAATCTCAAAGTACTGTGAAATCTCAGCAATCTAAATTTTATTAGTCCAGATATTTGATGAGATACATTTTGAAATATGTAATATATATATATATATATATATATATGGCCTGGAGTAGCCGTGCGAGCTAAGGCGCTTGCAATAGGTAATCAAAGTTAAACAACGTTGAACGTGGTTAATACTTGGATGGGTGACCGTCCACCAAGGTAAGTCATGCTGCCTGAGATTCCTCTTCCTCCTCCTCCCAGTATGTGAGGCCCATCAGCCTACGAGGCAACTGGCAGCGACCAGGCATAAGGCTGATGACCCTACCCTGTGAACTTAAATCGGGGATCAGGGTGTGGTCTACTAGGATGTCAGTAGCTTCCCTGAGGCTTGGTCCATGGACGGTCTGTTTCAGGAAAAGAAATAGTGCGCCTATTGACTCTGAGCAGCCATAATTCATGGATTTACACTGATGTGTCACTGTCCTTGAACCTGAGTGAGTCGCTGAGAAGGACCAGTCTGGTCCCAAAGATATCGGCTATAGAGCTACTGGTGGACTGCCGCTGCACCATGGAGACTATGATTCGTAGCAACGTGAGGTTGGATGACCCTCTCCAGGCTATCTGTACTTCCGCAAGCAAAATGTGTCTGTAAGGAGACTACATCTTACGGCCAAAGATCTCCATGGCCTGTGGCGCTGACAAAAAAAAAATGTATATATATAATACCAAGACTTTTGGTATTTGTGGATCCTTTGTCCCCTTCCCTCCAATCGGAATGAAAAGTTTGCACCTATACGCCAATGTTGGTAGGAAATCATTAGAAACTTTAAGTTTTTTAAATTATTTCAAAATGTATGAATTGGTAAGCTAACATTTTTTCTATATACACTGTTTCTTCATTTGTAGCACTGAATTAATTTGTATTCACTTTCCGATTTTCAGCCAAACACACCTTCCAAAATGGTGACACTTTCATCGATTCAACTCAAGCTCTCTGGGATATCCATGCTCTTGTAGTACCAAACTTGTGACCCAACCAAAGAACAACTGAACTCCTTTGTTCATCCTATAGCAGCCATTTTCTTTTTTTGGGATACTCCAGAGCAGCCATTTTCTTTTTCCTGTTTTTTCATGTTTAAACTTCAAATTTACACATCCCCTGACATTAGCAGAATTAGATTAGCTTGCCTTTTAATTGTTCAACATTAATTCATTTTTAACAACTTTCAATAACGGTGTATATCACAATATATATATATATGTTGTAATATGATCAATACAAAAACTATATACAAATAAAATATACAATAATTAGAATAGAATAGAAGAATCAACTTTATTCTGGGACAAAGTCCCTTAAGAATAACAATTTTGTACATAAAAATTAACATTCCATCTGGCCAAAATATATATTACAAAAAAAACTAAAAACTAAGTGATAGCAGGTGAGTGATAGGTTGTGGAGCGGACAATAAAGGAATGTTGAAATGAAGCAGATGTATGGAAAGGGATGTAAAGGTCAGAAGGATGAAATCTTGTGGAGAGGGAGGGGATAGATGATTTAAATTGGAGGAGATTATATACATAGGACGGGCGATGATTGTTGATTATTTGGTAAAGGAATGTGCCAAGGAAGTATTGTCTTCTGAAGGAGGGAAAGAACCAACCTAACTGGGCATAGTAGTGAGAAACACGGGACCGTCTCGGGGCCCCTTCGACAAATCTTACAAGGCTATTCATTATTCTTTTTTAGTCTGTCCCCAAGTTCCACTGAGAGGCCGCCGTACACCACACAGCCGTAGTCAAGGTGGGGAAAGATGAGGGCGGATACTAGGAGTCTACGTGTGGACTTGGGTAGGAGATGGCGGAAGCGATGGAAGAGTTTCAGAGTGGAAATTGAGCGTCGGGATATTTGAGAAATATGATGATTCCAGGAGAGGGTTTGATCTATGAAAACACCTAAGTTTTTAACTGAAGAGTTGAAGGTGATGGGTGTGTCATTTAGGTAGAGGAGAGGAATGTTGGTATTGGATCTGAGAAGGGGTTGGGAACCAATGACAATGGCTTGGGTTTTAGCAGCGTTTAACCTTAATCTATTTTCATTTGCCCAGGCACAGATTCGATTTAGGTCTTCTTGTATTTTGGCAAACGCATCATGCCACTCAGAGGGAGCGAAGGAGATGTAATTTGGGAATCATTGGCATAAAGGTGATGGGAACAGTGAAGGACTGATTTACGAAGATCGTTAATATATGAACTAAAAAGGAGAGGAGATATGCTAGAGCCCTGTGCCACACCTGAGGACAGGGTTAGATAGGAAGATAAAGGTTGGTTAGGAACAGAGACGGCTTGGGTACGTTGAGAGAGGAAAGATTGAAACAAAATGATAGAGCTGTTGAAAAAGGATAACAATTTTAATTTGGAGAAAAGGATGGAATGGTTAATGGTATCAAAGGCTTTGGAAAAGTCAAGGAGTACAAGGACAGTTAGTTTTTTGTCATCTATGGCGGACTGAACATCACTAATGATTTTGGTTAGGGCGGACCCAACCTGGTCGAAAACCAAACAGGAAAGGATCAAGTTGGTTGGACTGTTCGAGGAAGTTCGAAACTTGGGATTGGACTATTCATTCCAGGGGTTTTGCAAGGCTAGAAAGGATTGAGATTGGACGGTAATCTTCAGGGGAAGAATGGTTAGGATTTTTAAGTAAAGAACGGACAATGGTTTTTTTTCCATGAGGACGGAAATACTGAGTTCTGAAGGGAGAAATTGTAGATAAAAAGGAGAACAGGAAGGATTTCAGATAGGCACAATATGATTAATTTGACAGGAATACCATCTGGACCAATAAAATTGGAATGAGATTTCATCACGGCGGATATGAGGTCTGTGGGAGAAATATCTGAAAAATAAAAGTTGTCGTCGTTAAATGATATTCCAGGAGTAAAGAAGGAAGATGTTGATGTCAGAAAGGAAATTAGTTCACCAGTTTTAGGTCACCAGAAATGATGATTTTGGTATACAGAGGAACAAAGTTGAAGAGGGATGATTCAAATGATGGATCAAAGGGAACAAGAGGATATAAAGGACATAAAGGATAGGAGATGTGTCACAGGAAATTTCAACAATTAGGAACCTACGTGTGGGTGATCGGAAATTTCAACAATTAGGAATCCTACGTGTGGGTGATCGGATGGAGGAGAGCAGTGGAGTATTCGGGTCTTCAGGCATTCGTGAACATACAAAGCTACACCTCCCCCAGTCCGGCTCGTCTGGTCGTGGCGGATTAGTGTGTAGTTAGGAAGGGAAACAGATGTGGAAGGGATGTAAGGCTTGAGCCAGGTTTCGGAAATTGCAATGATACGGTAAAAATTATGGGAAAAGTATTCAAGGAATTCATCATAGTGGGCTGGGGGGGATTGGGAGTTGACGTGACAGGTATTAAGGATGCTAGACATGATTAGGCTTGGGGAAAGTAAAATCAGAATTTTATGAGCAGACGCTGGACCGGATATGATACATTAGATGAAATAATGTAAAAATTAAAATATAAGAAAAAAACCATTAAAAAGAAAAAAATATGTGAAAGCAATAATCAATAGAAATAAATTAATCAAAAGTTCCAGTAGTAACATAACATACATTTCAGATTTTCAATGTGAGTCCTGTAAACTATGCCAAATTATTTATCGATGTTGAGGAGTAAACAGGGATTGAAGAGTCAGCCGTTAATTAAATAGATAAATAAAAATTATAAATATACATATATTAAATTTGAGTTATCATTCAAAATATTGTGTTTACATGTTATTTATTAATGTATAGAATATGAAGTAATGTTTTTTTATAAATAAATTACCTGGTCCAAATTCATCATTTTTAAATATAAAGGGTTCAACCTTAAAATCCCTTAAGAAAAGACTTGCAACAGTATGAGTTTGAGAACTAGTGAGCTCAACTTCTATTTCTCGGTCACATTTATATGATTTGCCAACAGGTGTAGGGAACAGATAATTGCTGTGACTGCTACTTGATGACAGAGTGAAAGAAGATCTTCCTGAAAAAGAAACAAAAAGTTGAAAATAAAATCATCAAATTGCAATACTATCTTTTAGTATTGACCACACAAAACATGTTGAATTGCGTTCTAATGAAATTACCATTTTAATGCACATTTTTATCCAAACTTCAGCTATCATTCTTAATTGCCCACAGAACTATAATTAGTATTTTTATTGAATTTCTAGCATTGATACTTTCTCATTTACAAAATATTTTATTAAACTGGAAACAATTATAACTGAGTTTCAGGAATGACTTACAGCCAGCTTTTAATTTTAACCCATTACAAAAATTTACTTTCTGCTTCTTTGGACTATTCATTATCTTACTAATTATCCAAAATATTACTAATAATTATTTATTCCAGGCTAACTGATGGGCCTAGTCCGTTCTTTCTTTATCCAAAATCAAATTCTTTTATTTGTCAGTCTTTTTTCATGATTTATTACTATCATCTGTTAAATAACGTTTTTTCAAATATTTAATGAACTGCTATAAAAACTATAATAGTCATTTTAATACTTGTATACACTTTTACCTGCCTAAAATTCACCAAGGTTATTAGGTGTCAGAATAAAATAATTAGTAAATAATATGATTTTGTTTTTTTAAGTAGAGATAATCTCACTAACCTGAAGATTTAATATGCTCGAAAAATGAATCAGATGGATCATATTTCAGTTCAATTTTTGGTACAAACCATCTTTCACCTCCAGGGGTCTGAAATATATTAATCAATGAAATACAAAAAAATTAATTTTTCATGTTACTACATGAAGTAGTGTTAATTCATAGAAGAAATAATCTAACATAAAACTAATGTAATATTTTCTTTGTTCAAAGAACTTTCCAAGAAACCCAAAATATCTTTATCTGAAAATAAATGATTAGCAATTATAAGACATAGTTAATAAATTCATGCAATTGTTATACTATTAAATTTTATGTATAAGTATTTAGAACCAACAATTTAAGGTGCATTGTTGATAATGCAACAATCATTTAAGACGTAGTGACTCATTCCTTATTTCAAGATGTAAATATTAAAAATTATATTTTTAAGAACTATTAAACAGTAAGCAAACTTCCATATCTCATCTAATTTTTTAATAGCTCTACTTTGTTTAATACATAAAATCAATCAGTAAAACAGTTTTGAAACTATTTTATAATTTTAAACAAAAATGTTTCAAATATATTTCAAAAACTTCAATCAGACTTTAAAATTCATTTATTTGGCAACAGTTTGGTTTCTATGGTAACAGTTATGTCAAAGTGGCGATGGTGACAACAAGGTGTGTGTTTCTCTGGGTGCCAGTTAAATACATGGTTTAAACTTTGCCAAGTACATGATACCTAGGTAATATGGTAATTCAAACATTGGGATGCCGGTCTGATACCGAGAACAATGATATTTTCCATGAAAATTAAATTAAATTATAATGTTCCATTATATTACTGAAAATTGCTAAACTAGTCCAAATATCAAAGTAGGTAGATACAGGCTTTGAAAAAAGTTTTAAGGTTCAAATACTTCAAATTAGTAATGGTAGCAAATATAATGAACTAGATTTGCAGATTTACGATAAACCATGTACTGGGTAAACGGTAGGTATCAAAAATACAGCTGGGTAATCCTGGTTCCAGGTACATGGCAAAACACTAAACTTGATCAATTATGATTTTTAATTAGTGCAATGATTCAATAACATACATTATACATAATCAATGCATAAAATATTTTAAAAATGCACATTTACAACGTGAAATGATTAAAGTTTTTAAGAAATTAGGTTCATTAGAGTGAATATTATTGAAAACATTAGTATTTTTGAAAAATTCAAATTATCAATCGATCATAAAAAAGTTTCTAACTTAGATAAATATTTTAATAGTGGTATCAACATTTCATCAAATTACAAATGATAATACTGCAATTCTTTCTTCCCACAAAAATTCAACAATTGCTTCCAAATCAACTCTCTGATCTCAAAAAGTGGTTCCACAAATAGGAAATTTAAAAAAAATTCCAGCAAATCGAGCCACATCATTTTTTTCCCTGCATAAAGTTCCATGCCTTGCTATACCTAACATAAAAGTACTTCTTTAGATGCCTAAATCACAAGACTGATATTTATAATCACCTTTGAGAAATACCATTTTAGTACAAATGAATGCCATCTGAGAACAAGATTCTGTTTGTCTTCATCACTACAATCTCCTGTTACGGTAGCGCCAGTCGGAATGAATGTCTCCTTATCCTTATTTTTAAAAAATAGCAAATTATTACAACATTAAAAGGCACTAAATAATTCTAAATTACAATTGATGTATGTCAGGTTACAGTTAAAAGAATGAATTCAACGTTTCGAGTTATATTTATTTTTCTACCATAGTTACATTATGGAATCTACAAGTGGGATGTACTACAAATATGAAAATTACAGATTCTTTGTTTTTACACAGTAGCTATCCATGTAATGAATCTAAAAAGAAGAAAATAGCTAATTTGTTGAATTCTCCCTTTTGAATAAACTATTGATATTGTGTTATCATTTGTATTAACTGTGATGTTTTAATTTTACCTGTATTTCATTCAGTTTTGTGAGATATTTAAAACTTAAAATTGCATCAACTTTTAGCTTTATGCAGGTAGAATCATCAGCTGCTTTGACTCTATATAAAGCTGTTTCTAGTGAATCTTTTACAGGAGGAGCTAAGGAGAAAAGAAAGAAAAATAATCATTTAAAATTAATATAGGTATTAAATATTACAGGGACCATCAAATAACCCATACATAAAATAAAATAAAAATAACTTTACTTGTGGTATTTGTTTTAATTATTTCCTTGTTTTTTTCAGTTTTACGGTTTTCAGTCTTAAAACTAGATATTTCCAATCTTTTCTAAAATAAAAAGCAAACAATTATAGTTGTTAAAACAAAACCTAACTTGATGAAATACAAAATTTTCAACTTACTTGCTTACTAGATGATTCAGATTTATATTGTGCTTCTTGATAACTCAAAACACTAGGAATTTCGAAATTCTGATGGTCCTTCAAGTATCCTACCTCAGCAAGCTTTACTAACCCAGTTTCGAAAAGGACGACTATTTTTAAGAAATAATTATTAGTATTCTTAACAATAATATCAGCAGACTTTATTTTATTGGAAAACTATGTATTTATTTCATATTTGTTGTTAAATATCTATATTCATGATAAAAGGCAATGGAATTAATAAAAAAAATGAAAGTTATATAAAAACAGAAATAATTATTAAATTAAGAATTAAATTTAAATTATATAGGTCCATTTGCTGAAATGAAAACTATATTGAAATAAATATTTTTTGTATTTAACTTATTTATTTGTTTGCATTTGATTGTTTAACCACTAAATAATATCTTCATTTCATAAAAACAAAGTTTTTTAATGATTAAATTAATGCCATTGAAATTGGTGAAAACTATCGTCAACTTAATTTTACTGCTAACATTTTATGGCCAAGTTCAGCCTAAGGAATAAAACCACAATATTAACTTTTTCATGCTTAAAAAGTCTCTTGAAAATTCTATAAGACGGAGTGGTAAACTTTAATTAACCGATAAAACAAACATAGGTAAAATAGAATATAATTAAATTATTTCATTTTCATAAATATTTCATGATAAATGTATATATCCCGACAATTACTTGAATTATTCTGAATAGTTTAGCAAATATTTTCATATTTCATGATAAACGTAAATATCCCGACAATTACTTGAATTATTCTGAATAGTTTAGCAAATGCGCAAGCTTTTTAAAATAATTAAACCTTAAACCAGATAAAAATAGTCTTAATAACAAATATTTATTTAAAATAAAAATTACAAAAACAGTAAAAATAAATTAACAATGAGATATTAATTATGATTAAGCATGAAAAAATCAAAATCTCTGTAAAAATCTTTGATGTCTGAAGTCAATTTGCTATTCTGGATCTCAATATTAGTAAATATTAAGATTAAAAATATTTTGGAATTGTAAGTAAATTAGCATACTTAAAAGAGAAAGGAATATAGATGTGTGCCTATGGAATGCCATGGTACTGAACTGAATCAACTGGAACTCATGAAAGAGCCACCAGGCAAGGGAAGATTAGATCAATACATTTCTTGAGCATGCCCTGTTCATCTATACCCACCCACACATTTGTCAGGTTTAGGAGACATCCATCTCTATTAACAATAGAAATGGTCCTCTAATTAGAAATATAGTACAAACTATTATTTTTTTTAACTGTTATTTGTTATAACAGTCAAATAAATCTAACCAGCTATAAATGAGAAAAACTACATGCAGTTTTTTTTTTCTAAGTATGAACTAAACATAAAAGAGTAAGGAACAAGGAACTAAACTGTTGGAAGTAACTGCTTAGGTTTGAAGAACAGTGTTTAATTCTTGAATATTTAACTTAATAAACAAATCACTATCTAGACAATTATAACTATGAATATGAAATTTACAGCAGCAGTTTGAATTGTTAATTAAAATTAACAGATTTATCCATTTCTACTAACCAGTTTTTACAATATGCTGTTTCTACCTACGGATCTTAGGTCGAAATTCTGTTAATTTAATTATAAATAGTATTTGTATGTTCCAAATTAATTTAAATTGATGTTATAACGTGAAATTGTGTGCTTCGTTGTCTTTTGAAATGTTTTCCATAAAATAAATACATAAAAATATAAGCATTCATCTTTCATTTATTAACAGAAATTCAACAATCATCATACTTTCTTCAATTATTTTAAACTATCTTCATTTTAGAGACATTGAGAGACATAAAATAAACAATAAGATAATAACATTCTTCACAAACAAATTATATTCCCATAAAATATATATGGAACCACTAGCAGATCCAGCCAGGGAGTACACACTCCTGCCCTCTCCCCCCACACTCTGAAAGCTGGAAAAAAATTTCACAGCACCTATTTAAAGAAAAGAGAAATATAGGGAAAATTGATCCTCATACACAATTTCCTAATGTAATATAAAAAAATTTATCATCCTGACCAGTACTAGAGAATTCTGCCAGGGGGTGCACCCTCCCCTGGATGCTGGAAAAAAGTTAAGAAAAAACACCTATATAAAGAAAAGAAAAATATAGAGAAAATTCATCCTCATACACGAATTTCCTAATATAATAAAAAATATATATATATTATTGTGACCAGCACTAGCAAATTCTGCCAGGGGGCACGCCCTCCCTTGGTTGGTGAAAAAAAAATCCAAAAAAACTCCTATTTAAAGAAAAGAGAAATACAGGAAAAATTCATCATCGAAGTCGAATTTTATAATGTGATATAAAAAAAATTATTATCCTGAGCAGTACTAGCGGATCCAGCCAGGAGGACACCCCTTCCTCTCCTGGATAATGGGGGGGGAAGTTCCAAAAATCAGCTATTTAAAGAAAATTGAAATATAGGAAAAAATCGTCCTCATAGACAAATTTTGTAATATGATCATCCCGAGCTCGATAATTCATTACTAGATCTTGGCTGCCTCAAGAGTTTTCCTCTATGTTTCTCTGTCCTCAGCAGCCTCCACCAGTTCCTGATTACATGGATTCTGGCATCAGCACTTACTTACTTTTTTTTATTTCTTAATGATATTATAACTGTATTAAAGAAATTAATATTTTAATTAATTAATTTTAATACATTAATACAGCCTTGCAAGGGGGCGCCCCTCCTCCTGGATGGTGTACAAATAAAATTCTGAAAAAGTTCAAAAACGCAGCTATTTAAAGAAAATAGTGATATAGTTTTTGGGTCACTGTGAGATGCGAAGGTTATTCTTTCGAATAGTCGAAAGACTTCGAACTGAGTCTCGCAGATGAAATACACGATGGAGGAAAATTTACTAAGAATTTCATTTATTCTTTCGAACAATCTTTTGTTCGAACACAAGGAAATACGGGTTTTCTCCCAGACACAGTTTTTATTAATTTCCAATAGCATTTCAAGCTCCAGCTACTATAGTATCCTTGAAGAATCCATACGATTCATAGAACTCCTCACGATAATGTGTATTTCTCATTAGAAAGTGTTGTTCTTTTCTTAAAATAGCTGCTGTTCACAGGCGGATCTACGGGGGGAGGGGGCTTTCGGGCTGAAGCTCTCCCCAAAATGGTAAAATATAATCATGTTTTACAGAAAAAAATATTAAAAACTATCTCTTAAAGTATTCTTGTTCGTTTAATTACATGTAATAGGACTTCAAGAACCACTTAAACACCATTTCATATAGGTAATTAATTTCTTTCTTTTTTTTCAAATTAATTATCGTTATATGTATATGAAAACCAAGGTACCGGACTGTATTTGAGAAAGGAAGCTGGATGGTGTTAAAATAAACTGATGGACAGGATTTACGACAAAGGGTGAAGGTTATGTGTTTACATTTGGATTCGTTTATCTTTATGCGCCATTTCTTACACCAGTGTTCAATCAGGGAGAGGTGTATTTGTAGGTTTAATGTTGCTGTTTTAGGATCTGAGTTGGTTGCAAGGATAGCGGTATCATCAGCTAATGTTGCCAGGAGGGTATCAGGATCGACAAAAGCTAAACACGTTTTGACTTAATATTTGAAATTTTTCGAGAAGCTACTCGAGTCTATGTTTGATCATTATGTTAAAAGTCTTGGCAAGGCAGGAAATGAGGGTGGTGTGTCCCGATCTATACAAGAGGGACCTCTGCCTGGCTTAGAAACAGGAATTATTGAGACCATCCTCCAATCAGAAGGTATATTTGTTGTTTCCCACAAATCATTGAATGCTTAGAGTAGCTTTAACTTAAAAATTCTGGGTAGAAGAGCTATCATTTTATAGTTAATTTCATCCAGAACAGGGGTTGTGCATCTTTTGGCTAGTAAAGCAGCATCCAGTTCTGTTTCGTTAAAGTTGCAAATAATTGGAATAACTGAGTTAACTTTATTTTAATTTAGGTCAATAGTTTTTAGATTGTATGGTTAACTGGGTATGGAATTGTCTCCAATATGCTTAAGAAAGGCTTCTGCTAATAGTCATACAATCCATAATCAACGGATCGTGCAATCCATAATCAACGGCTCGTACAACCCATAATCAACCGATGATACAATAAATAAAACTTCTGTTATTTTAATGGTGTTTATGATTTGTTAGCTGTAATTTTTTAGCTTTAGCTCAGTTATAAATGGAATTCAAAAAATTTATAATAACCCAACATGATCAGAAAATAATTTCTATTCAAATTTGAGCGGTAAGTGAAAGGTGTGTGTTGTGCGCTTCAGATTTTTAATCTTAATTCTGTATTATTCAATGTCTATTTAATGTTATTATACCTATTGCTATCTGGTTCTCTTCCCAGCCCTGATGAAGGCCTGAACTTCGGGCCGAAACATCGACGAATGTAAAAATAAATAAAATTATTTATTTTTTACCATTTCACTTTGACTGATCACCCCAATCATCCTTCTCTACAATTATTCACTACAGCCAACCATAAACCCACAATGATAAGAAAAAACCTTTTATATGTCATAGTTACAAGCGCGTAAATTTCTGATTTTACAAGGGTTAAAAATTATCAAAATACTTAGTGATTTAAAGTTATGTAATTTGTAATATGTAATATCTTAATGACTGCAATAAGGTGATGATAGTTTTTATTATATGGATAAACCATGCTGTCAGATGTGGGTTATTTCCTTATAAACTGGAGGTAGTGTTGTAAAACAGCTCAGTTAGATGCCTATAAGACTCAAGTTTTATGGGCTCAGTGTCTGAGGTTCGAGCCTTACTTTCTTTTTTTTAATTGTTTTAAAATATATACAAAAGGGCAATATCCATCTACCTAAACATATTGCCACTATATCTTTTAAAAAAAAAATCCGAGGGGGATTACCCCTCCCCACCCAAAAAAAAATTAAAGTAAAAAAGTATCACCCACCTACCCAAACATATTGCCAACATACCAGCCTTAAAACAATTAGAGAGGGGGAAGAGATAATTTCTCCCACTACCAAAAAATAAATAAAGCAGAAACATAATCAACCAAATACCCAAACATATTGCAATTTTATCTTTTTAAAAAAATCAGAGGGTGGTGAATAAAATAAAAAAAATCGGGAAGGGAAAAGAGTAATTCCCCTCCCCCTCCCCCAAAAAAGTTAAATAAGGTATCACCCATCTACTATAACTATAACATATTGCCAAGAGGGACATATTTGGTACCGCCCAGAGCTTCTCAGTATCCGTATATATGGTTTAATATTGCTCAATATAGACACTTACACGTACCATTATATTGACAGTATTTCATTCATATTGAATGAGATTCAATAAAAAAAAAATTGATATCAACTGGTTTGATTGACGTCAATATAATTAATTCCAATGTAGACCTTACACGGTCAATATATTGACGAAACTCGATATTGACTCAATCATATTAACAGTGTAAGGCGCCCTTAAGGCTTAAGCCGTAAATGCTCCAGATTTTTGGACTCGGCCAGGACTCTATTCTTAAGAGATCGGTAGTTAGTAAAAGTTTGAAATCGTGGATGCATCCTTACTTCTTTTTTTCATATATTATCTACTTATTTATATTATATTTCGGAAATATATTCATATTGTTACAACAAAAAGAAAAAATATATTTATTTACGAAAATTAACAATAATTTAATTTTTTTTTTAAGTTATATTTATCAAGTTTACAACTCGATGAGCTTTCAACTTGAGCTTTGGAGGTTCGAGGTTTAAAGGGTCGAGCCTTTACGACTGGAGTTGAAGCTCGAGACTTTATTTTACAACAATAAGTCAACATAGCCTGGGACTAGTGGGTTTAAAGTCTATCATAAGTGAGGCAAGTCTCTTCCCTATGACAAATCCTGCGTCAAAAGTGAGGAGGCGATCATCACAGCTGTAGTAGATGGTGTGGTGTGTAGGAGTGGGAGAGAAAACGACAAACGTTTCAAAAGAACAGTTCTTGATCTCATACGAATGAACTTTTCTTCCAATCGGACAGTTAATTATTTTTAGTTCACTCGTTTGCCAATGGTCGAGTTGCTGTTTGATCTGTTTTTCGTTTTGTTATTTCCAAACG